GAACAGTTATAACGATAATGCAGTAATTATATCACAAGATTTTTTATCAGAACTATTACAATTAGTTGACGAAAATGTAATTGGGTTTAAAAAATGGACCTTGAACTCATATACCTGAAAAGTAATTCCAAACGACGTAGAATTCTGTAAGTTATGTATTTTACAACAGTTCTGAGTAATAAAATGTTTGTTTACGGTTGTTTGAGTAACCATTACAGTTAATTAACTGAACAGTATTGAGTATCCGTACTTGGTTTTTGTTTATCTTAGCAAGAAGTAATATTATACAAATATTTTATTGATAGAAAGCACAAAAAATGACAAAAGTCATTTGCTTCTGACCAGGAGATATTAACAAACATTGCTTTGACAAGTTGTGACGGTTTAAACTGCCTGATAAGATAACCCTCGACTATGTAGTTACTGATTGCATCGTTTTTACCACCCCACCCAGTTAATCTGGCTGCTCTGCCGGCGGATATCTCGCTGAACACCTTCATCCGGGAGTACGCCGGCTTGACGGGCACAAAGTTCATGTGCCAGGAGGGCGGATGCGGCGTCTGCGTCTGCACCCTGAGTGGACTGCATCCGGAGACCGGGGAGCCGCGCACGTGGGCGGTCAACTCGTGCCTCACGCTGCTGAACACCTGTTTAGGTCTGGAGGTGACCACCTCGGAGGGGTTGGGCAACAAGCGGACCGGCTACCATGCCATCCAGCAGCGATTGGCCAAGATGAACGGCACCCAGTGCGGCTACTGCTCGCCGGGTATCGTGATGAACATGTACGGCCTGCTGAAGTCGAAGGGCGGCAAGGTGACCATGGCGGAGGTGGAGAACTCCTTTGGAGGCAACATCTGTCGCTGCACTGGCTATCGCCCCATCCTGGATGCCATGAAGTCCTTTGCGGTGGACAGTAACATCCAGGTGCCGGCCGAGTGCATTGACATTGAGGATCTGAGCACCAAGCAGTGCCCCAAGACGGGTCAAACCTGCTCCGGAAGTTGCAAGAAGCAGCAGCCCAAGGGCAGCCAATTGTATCCGGATGGCAGTCGCTGGAGTTGGCCAGAGAATCTGGGGGAGCTCTTTGCCGCCCTGCAGGGAGCAGTCAAGGAGAAGCTTCCTTATATGTTAGTGGCTGGCAATACTGCCCACGGTGTCTACAGACGTAGTCCGGACATCAAGGCATTCATCGATGTGTCCGGCTTGGCGGAGCTCAAGGGTCACAAGCTGAGCTCGGATAAGTCCTCCCTAACCCTTGGAGGCAACCTGAGCCTCAGTGAAACCATGGAGCTGTGCCGCCAGTTGGAGAAAACCAAGGGTTTCGAGTATCTAGGCCAGGTGTGGCAACACCTCGATTGGATCGCCAATGTTCCAGTGCGCAATGTAAGTCAAATTAGAGTGTCTTATCACTTGTAAGCCCTCAACGCTTATCTAATCAGAATATCACCCTTTGAAAAAAACACCTTGAGTACCTGTTGTTTATCGACCCATTTCGCATTAACCCAGGCTGGCACCTTGGCGGGCAACCTGGCCATCAAGCATGCCCACCCGGAGTTCCCCTCGGATGTGTTCATTGTCCTGGAGGCCCTCGATGCCCGTGTGATTGTCCAGGAGGCGGTGGACAAGCAGAAGACTGTGAGCCTGGCCAGCTATCTTGGTGGATCCATGGAGGGAAAGATTGTACGGGGCGTGGTGCTATCCGCTTACCCCAAGGAGCGATTTGCCTTTGACTCTTACAAGGTTAGTATTTATAAAAGACAACGCAAAACGATATTATTTCTTATCAATAATAGTGCACTTCAGAGGTATATTATCAACCAGACACTCTTAATTGCTTGTAAATACTACTTAATGCAGAATAATATACACAAAGTAGTTTACAATAATTTCTTGTTATTCTCTAAAATGATAAAATATAACATTTTTTAGTTTTCATAGATAAATATCTTATTATTCCAAAATTAATTATATTTTTGTTGTAAACAGATTATGCCACGTGCTCAGAATGCCCATGCCTATGTGAATGCTGCCTTCCTCGTCGAGTTTTCTGGAGACTCCAAGGTGAAGTCATCCCGCATTTGCTTCGGTGGAATCAATCCGGAATTCGTACATGCCACGGCAATTGAAAAGTTGATACAAGAAAAAAATCTTTTTGAGAATGGATTGGTGGAGAAGGCCTTTGGACAACTTTCCACCCTGCTTCAACCCGATGAAGTCCTACCAGACGCCTCTCCGGCATATCGTCGCAAGTTGGCCTGTGGACTCTTCTACAAGTTCCTTTTGAAAACAGCATCTGAGAGGAAACAGGGATTGGCCAGTCGGTTCGTGACAGGAGGTTCTCTCCTCAAACGGCCCGTGTCCAGTGGCCAACAGAGCTTCGAGACCTTCCAGGAGCACTACCCGGTGACCAAGGCCACGGAGAAACACGAGGGTCTGATCCAGTGCTCCGGCGAAGACACCTACGCCAACGATTTGCCCACCCAGCACAATCAGCTGTGGGTGGCGTTTGTGTCCGCCAAGAAGGTAGGCGCCAAGGTGACCAAAGTGGATCCACAGCCAGCTCTCGATCTTCCCGGAGTGGTGGCCTACCTGGATGCCAAGGACATTCCGGGACCTAACTACGTTGGGCCCAAGATCAGGGATCAATTCTTCTTCGCACAGGAAGAGGAGCTATTCGCCACCGGGGAGATTAAGTTCTTTGGTCAGCCCGTCGGCTTGATCGTGGCCAACTCCAACTCCCTGGCCAATCGGGCTGCAGAGTTGGTGAAGCTGACCTACGAGGGCGGAGCAGAAGAGCTGCTGCCCAGCTTGAAGCATGTGCTGGACAAGGTTGGATCTGAAGCTGGCAATAACAAGAGATTAGAGCAGAAGGTCAAGTCCACCATCGATGTCCTGGAGCTGGAGGAACCTTTTGATGTGAGCTCCTCCGGTCAGCTAGACATGGGTCTGCAGTACCACTACTACATGGAACCCCAGACCACAGTGGTTCTGCCCTTCGAGGGTGGGTTGCAGGTCTACGCGGCCACCCAGTGGATGGACCTCACCCAGGATTGCATCGCCAATGTCCTGAATGTCAAGACCAACGAGGTGCAGGTAAAGACGCGTCGCATTGGAGGAGGATATGGTGGCAAGGCGACTAGGGGCAACTTGGCCGCTGCAGCCGCTGCCGTGGCTGCTCACAAACTTAACCGACCCATTAGATTTGTCCAGTCCTTGGAATCCATCATGACCACTCTGGGAAAGCGATGGGCCTTCCACTGCGACTACGACTTCTTTGTCCAGAAATCCGGAAAGATATCCGGCATCGTGAGCAGATTCTACGAGGATGCAGGCTACCTGTCCAACGAATCACCTATTAGCCACACTGTAATGCTTTCCAAGAATTGCTACGAGTTCAGTGAAAACTACAAGCTGGATGGCTTCCTGGTCTACACGGATTCACCATCGAACACCCCTTGCCGTGCTCCTGGTTCCGTGGAGGGCATCGCCATGATTGAGAACATGATCGAGCACATTGCCTTTGAAACCGGACTGGATCCGGTCGATGTCCGTTATGCCAATATGTTGCCCGCCCACAAGATGGGCGAAATGATGCCCAGGTTCCTGGAGAGCACCAAGTACAAGGAACGCAGGGCGGCAGTAATTGCTCACAACAAGGAGAACCGCTGGCACAAACGAGGACTGGGCCTGTGCATCATGGAGTATCAGATTGGATACTTTGGCCAGTTTCCCGCCACTGTGGCTATTTACCACAGTGATGGAACCGTGGTGGTCTCCCACGGAGGCATTGAAATGGGACAAGGTGAGTGGATTTCATCATTTGTCAAAAGAGCTAATCTAAATCTATCTTTTATCCCAAGGCATGAACACCAAGATCTCGCAGGTTGTGGGACACACTTTGGGCATTCCCATGGAGCAGGTTCGCATCGAGGCCAGCGATACCATCAACGGAGCCAACTCCATGGTCACCGGAGGAGCGGTGGGCAGTGAAATGCTCTGCTATGCGGTTCGCAAGGCCTGCGAGACCCTCAATCAGCGATTGGAACCTTTGAAGGAGGAGCTTAAGCCCCAGAATTGGCACGACCTCATCAAGGAGGCATATAACAGGAAGATTAACCTGATAGCCAGCGATCAGTGCAAACAGGGTGACATGGATCCCTACTCCGTGTGTGGTCTCTGTCTCACCGAAGTGGAGCTGGATGTCCTAACCGGCAACTACATTGTGGGTCGAGTGGACATCCTGGAGGACACCGGCGAGAGTCTGAACCCCAATGTGGACATTGGCCAGATCGAAGGGGCCTTCATGATGGGATTGGGTTACTGGACCAGCGAACAGGTCGTTGTGGATCCTCAGACAGGCGAGTGCCTCACAAATCGCACATGGACTTATAAGCCACCAGGAGCAAAGGATATACCCACGGATCTGCGCATTGAACTGCTGCCTAGGAGTCCCAATAAGGCGGGCTTCATGAGGTCCAAGGGTGAGTTTGATAGTTAAGACCTGTCTGAAATAATCCAACTAACTGGGAGTCCTTTTCCTGTTTTTAGCCACTGGAGAGCCCGCCATCTGTCTGTCCGTCGCCGTGGCGTTTGCCCTGCAGCAGGCTCTGCAATCAGCTCGCGATGACGCCGGTGTTCCAAAGTCCTGGGTGACCCTCACCGCCCCGATGACCCCCGAGCACCTGGTCCTTCACGCAGGCACCGAGCCCAGCCAGTTCAAGCTGAACTAAGAGGAAATCCAGTTCCTGACCGTGGGACACGGCACGTGGCCGCGATTGGAACGCTCCGATAAGCACGCCAAGATAACCTGCACTTACACCCCCACTTAACCTGTAGTCTAAACCCTAGACTAGCCGACATTGTGTTGTGTGCACAATAAATTAAAAACTTATCCAACGTTTAATCCAAATGACATTCATTGCTGGCCAGCCGACGGCCTGGGTCAACAGAAGCCCCTGTCCAGAGCTTCAGGCACTCGGAATTTACATTTTTCCCGTGCCTGGGCTCTTTTTAATGCTTAACACCTCAACACCCGGGGACACACCCCGCGACTACGAGCTCAGCTCTTCATTAATTTTAACATAAATTGTTGTATAGAAATTTTATGCCACGCGGAGCGTTAAGTGGCGGAAAGTGGGGGCGGATCGGGACAGGAGTTGCCTTGCGGTTGTGGCAGAAGGACAGGCGACTCTAATGGATTTTTCAAATATCACCAACTGCTGTGAACTTAATGAGCACATCCCTAACAAGAGTGTTCGATTGACACACTCCACAAAGGCTGTGCTAGCTTTAATCGAAGCCGTTGAAGGTCTCTGGGGTTGATTTGAAATGATATACCCATATTTTCTAATTATTTCTACTGAAATAGAAAGCTTGACTATGACTACTATCTAAAATTTCTTTTGAAATAATGGTTGGCAACATATGCTACCTGTGATTTGTAACAGCTTTTTTAGTTTTGTTCCTAGAAGAAAATTGATATTCTTGAAATACTTTCTAAAGTGCGTCAAATAAATAAGCGTACTTCTCCTAATAGAACCCACAGTCTGTGAACAAAAATGGAGCTGAATTGGTTGAAACTCGTAATGCTGCTCAAATGGTTTCACTTTGGATGGGGCGAGTTTATCGACTTTTGCGAACTGCCCTACTGCGGAACCAATAACTTAGCCTGCAACAATCCATCTGTAAGTAAAAAAGATTTATCTTTGTAAACGAAATATCCCTCAAGATACAATTACATCCCATCAGAAATACAGTGTCATGTGTCCGTCGAATGCCAGAACTCTTTCCATGTCGAGGTACCGAAATGCTTTACTAAACGCTTTCAATGAGTTTCGCAACTATACGGCCGGTGGAAGGCAGAAGTATCTCAAAGGAGGGGCTGCACGAATGTCCCGATTGAGTTACTCTACGGATCTTGAGGATTTAGCACGAATGGCGGTCATCACGTGCTCTGCACACAAGTTTTGCCTGAGCTCACCGGAGTTCTACTACGTAGGCACCAACCAAGGATCAACCTACTATCTGGGGAGATTGAACGATTTCGAGGACCTCGAACTCATGCTGAGGACCATCCAAGATTGGACCAAATATGCGGATTACATCAATATGAAAATGGCTCTCTATATGCCGATTACTTTGGATAAAAGGTGGGGACTATCTTAAGGTTCTAAGATACTATATCATCCATATCATTGACTATCCCATTCCAGTGGAGCTGCAAAAGCTTTACTTCTTATGACAGATCGGAACACCCACGTGGGCTGCTCGGCAATGCGATTCACAGTGAACTCCGTCCACAATTTCATCTTCGTGTGCGCCTTTAGTACAGATATTTTCGTAGAACGTCCCATTTATCGGATGTCCAGTAAACCAGGAAGTGCCTGTAAGCGGTTGGATCCTACCTATTCAGCTTTGTGTGCCGTTGGCGAGAGCTACGATAATAATAAGCCCCTGCCCAACGCAATGGTGTTCCAATTACCCCTCGACATATCCAAGGGTCGACAGTCTTATGTTCCTGCCACATAGACCAAGCTTTAAGTAAACTTTTAAATTCGCATAGCAAAATTAGTTTTTGTTTGTCTACTTTTTTGAGAGTGCTGATGGCCAGACAAACGTACACGCCCCTGGATACCCAAACATAAAATCTGAGCACAAAAACAAATAGTTAACACCCAGACGTGGCCATCAAGGGGGCGGAAGAGTAGCAGGAACAGACATTTCAGCACAGCCTCGATAATCACAGGACACATTTGCATATAAACACGCTTCCGGGCTGATGTCCTTCGCATGCAAATGAAAACATTAGCGAGGCACACGCGCATCCGCATCCGTACTCCCATCCGCATCTGGGAGTTGCAGATACAGCTACAGATACAAATGACATTCGTCGCTGTCGCTGTCGCCTCTTCCCTGCTTAAATATATATTTCAATTAAAATTTTACACACGAATAAATGCAAAGCCACGCCCAGCACATTAGATCCGCTCACTCGTCCCTCGGCCAAGTCCCAGTCGCCATCCCATTCAGATCTCATCCGCGGATGCTCCGCTGGCAGTGTCCAACTTGTGTCGCTTGTTTATGAGCGTCTGAAGGCCACGAGAGCAGGCAGCAGACACGGACATGGCCATAAAACGGTCCCGGTTTACTGGAGGGAGTACGAGGTCCAGATACAGATGCGGATGTGGATGCGGATAGGGCACAGGGATCAGTGCATTCAGGGCGAGGCGCCAATGGAGCATGCTGCTGAATGCCCACGGAATTATTCAAAAGTTTCACAGAGGAGACAGCATAGTGGATCCCATGAAACGATGACTTTGGCATTGTGACAAGATGAACTGACTGTCCCAAAAGGGGCAATCATGGAAATGCAAGAAAATTTGGCAATTTTATATAGATTTTTACAGTCTGGTTTAAACCTATATAAAAAAATCAAATGGTAGAGTTTTTAGAACTTAAAGGATTATCAAAATAAAAACTATTTTGAAACCGCAGACGCCTTTTAACCACAGCTGTCTTATCAAATAATGTCTCTTTAGGCACCCTCCTTCTTATCCGGAAGTCTCTCAATCCGCCATTATGATGGTTTCCATTTCGAGAGTTGCCCAGAGTCAACCATGAACTTGAACTTGCGACTGTAATAATAATAATAATGCAGATCCCGACTAACAATCCCTGCACCTCTCCACTTTCTGTCGGAGCTGGGCAGCTTTTATTTCTTTTTCATAGCCAGCACATCCTCATTGCGTCTGTCCCAGCCTGTCTGCGACCATTGTCTGGCTTGCATTTCAAATTCTAAGCAAATTTGTCGACCCTGGGGAGGGGAGGGGGTCTTGGTGGAGATGGTAGGATCTGATTCCGGGGTGTGAGCAGGCGCAACATTTTATGAGCGTGCCCGCGATGCAGCGACTCAGATATGGCCAGGCAAACGTCTGCTCGGCGGACTCCAACTGCTCCAGTTTCCAGGGAAACCTTTTCAATGGGTTTCGTTCTGACACTGAGAGAAAAGTTCTGAAAATTGAATTACAATTTAAATTGATAATATTAAGGAACATAATACTATTATTATTGGTATTATTACTACTGAAAACTTGATTTCCCTTAATGAAACATGATATTAAATGCTTAAAAACAGGATTTTAAAAATTATATTATTTTCTTTGATCAAATTGCTTATATTTTCTCTCTCTGTAGCTGGACTGCTGGTGGTCTGCGATGGTGTTGCGTCTGCTGCTGGCACACAAAGATGTCCCGGTGTGATTTATCGCCGGCAGAGCCGGGATAATGGCCACGTATTATAATATCTGGCGCGCCCACAGGGCGTATGCTTATCGGAGTCGACACCGCCGACAAGGACGGCGATGTGGCCGTCAAGGTCTAGACTCTAGACTCCTGCGGTGCAGCTGTGGCTCCTTCATCCTTGCAGTTTCATTTGCATTTCCCCCATTATTAAATAGAAAACGGTGGTGAAAAAAGAGGCTGCTGCTGCTTCTGCTGCTAGGAATTAAGTACATCATTTCGGGCTGATTTTGGCGCATATCCTGTGGGTAGGAAGGACACACTCGCATTGTCGGATTTCATGCCGCAGCGATGTCTTCCCAGGCTCCTTCTCCTTTTCCCCGGCAGCTTAAATCGTGAGCCAAATACATAAAATCTACGCATGCATGCCTGGCCGTGTCTATGTGTGAGTGTATCCTTTGCCGCATCCTTTTCCACTTAATGCCGACTGCATTGTGCCCAGGATACACACATGTATGCCTTTCTATGTATTTGATATCATTAAAATTTTGAGCTTGCCACTGCAGTGGCAGCCAAAGAAGCAGAATCAGGAGCAGCTTGTCCTTGCCATTGGTCCTTGCCATTGTCCCTTGGTCCCTTTCCTTTCGCAGCCCCTGATCCTTCGAGCGTCTGGCCAAACATGAATAGCAAAGTCTGGCCTTCTCCCCGAAAAAAGAACGAAAACTATGCATTTATGATATGTATTTCCAAGTTTATTTGTTCAACGGACTTTGCACTGCTCGAGCGGGTTAAAATATTTCTGCATGTATGCACAAGTTCTGGGAATTAGGAGGAATTCAGATTGGATAGAGGTGAACTGATAGTCCGGCCTTTTCTTGCCATCACTTTAAAGTTTATTTAATGCTTAAAATGTCGAAATGTGTGTGGCTTTGCGTTCGGCAATCCCTCAAAGACCAAGAAAAAGGCAACATGGCCAAAGTGAAGTTTAATTAAATTTAAATCCAAATGGGACTTAATATCCAGTCTTTTCGTTCATAATTAAAAAATACGCAATATCCGATTTTTCAATAACCCAGTGATGGCCAGCCACCCAAAGGAGGTGGCCGACGTCCTGTTCACGGCCACGGCCATCGCAGGATCCTTTGGCCAGGGCGAGAATCCGATTCGGACGAGTGCGACTGATGGGCGACGACAAGGACACCGACTGCCAGTTGCAAAGGACAAGCGGGCGTAACTCAATCTGTGGATGTGCAAAAAGGAATATCCAACCAAACGCACTGCCGCAGGACAATGATAGCAGAATGTGCCCAGACCCACCAGAAAAAAATGCTGTAAAAACTCACACAAAATAAAACCAATCTGGTGGCCATTTGCTTATATACCCTGTATGAAATTGAGAAATATATAGGTTCCTAGATAAAGTCAGATAAGTGAATTGAAAGGTTTAGCTTGAATTTATAGAAAAGAAATATTTATTTTTCTATAATGGCATTATTGCTTACAAAACATAGATTAAAGAAACTTTTAGTAAAGCATTGTTAGATATATAATAATATAAAGGAGGAATAGTTTATAGATATTGATAGAATCATTTAAAATTCCAAGTACTTAATAATCGTAGATAAAATATTAAAATCTTGCTAAGGCCTTTCAAATCCCTAAAAAAGGTATACTTTGTGGCAAGGCCAATTTTCCCTTAAGTCAAGGGGAACACAAAAGTCTATAGACAGAAAAACCCTACTAAGCCGCGCCAATTGTTTTTATTTTTTGCTCGGCTTTCTGAGTAAATTAAAAAGTAAATTTCTGCACCCAGGACGCATCTTCTCGTCCAGCCAATAATTCAATCAATTTATTTGCACTTTAATGCAGGAATCGGTGGAAAAGTCGGGGTTTCTGGGTGTTTCTGGGGGGTGTACGTTCGTTACCGCACACGCCATGACCGTAAAGCTTTCGCTGGCCGGCGGAGAAAGCGCGAATAAAAATGAAATGAAATCAATTATGTTGCAACTTTTTTGAGCTGTAGCCAATACCGCTGGCTATGTTGTAATTAATACAAAATGCTCTGGCCTGAGACAGGCGAGGGGTGACGGGTGAAAGGGTGACGGGACGGGGATCGTTATAGCCGGGGGCATGCCAAAAGTTGAGTCTTTGCCGCAGTGCCGTTGCCCGAAACCCAATTTGATAAAATTTCATTTACAATTGCCGTTGCTCCCCTCGAAAATGTGGGAGTGGACAGTTGGCCAGGACTCGCACGATTCACAGGACTCACAGGACTTCGTTTCGCCTCTGCCAATTGTTGTGTTTATTAATTTAATTTGACAATCGCGAGTCCCTCGCACGTTGGCACTTCGCCTTGGGGCATTCCACAGCAGCTGTGGACGCTTGTGGTTTTCTGAAAAGGTTCTGAAAGGGGGATTTCGGGGGAGAATCGGTGGGGCAATGGCTTCGTTTTGTGGCGACTACTGCGGTATCTGCATTAGTATCTGTTAAGGCAAGAGAGGGAATCCAGGCAGTTGTTGCGGATGGCTGGCATGAGTGGTTTATTCAATATCCGTTAACCATTTCAATCCATCTATTCGCTAATCAGTCCCTAACTGCTCTTTCATAATCGAAGGGACTGTCATTGATTTCGAAGTCCCTCGCCATCGCATTCAACAGAACCATTTAATAAATCAGTTGAACGGAACAAATGAGAGACACAACGGAAGGTACATTTTATAGATTCGAAGTTTAAGATACTCTGTATTATTTATTTTTTAAAAGTGCCGTTTTGGACTTCCATTCTGAAGGCCATTGGAAAATATGAAAAAATTTATACATGAAAATGGGTTATAATTTTGACTCTCATTTTCAAGAAATATTTGGATGTAGAATATAAGAGAATTCAAACACAAGCTCATAGAGGCATCCCACTTGTAAATCGGGATAAAATTACCTGAGTTACGAAAATTAGAAGTACAGTTTTGGGTTCCGATACTGAAAGCCCTCGGAAATAAGGAAAAGTCGAACTTGAAAATGGGTCAAAATTTGGACCCTCGTATAAAGTGAATATTTTGATGTAGAATATTAGAGAATTCAAATACAAACTCATAGAGGTATCCCACGTCTAAATCGGGATAAAATTACAAAAGTTATGAAATTTGGAAGTGCAGTTTTGGGTTCCGATACTAAAAGCCCTTGGAAATAAGGAAAAATCGAACATGAAAAGGGGTCAAAATTTGGACCCTCGTATAAAGTGAATATTTTGATGTAGAATATTTGAAAATTCAAATACAAACTCATAGAGGTATCCCACGTCTAAATAGGGATAAAATTACAAAAGTTATGAA